CGAAAGGTGAGTTTTACTATGTCAAAGGCAAAAGGGAACAGCCTCTAAAAAAGAAAGGTCCACCTTTCGAAAGCGCTCGGGTTATAAGGTTTTTACTCATTAATATGGTTTATTATTACATTTATTATCAGCAGTGAGCATTTCACCAAAAATGGGAGGATGTTTTGTAAATCTGATCAACAAAATCACAATTAAAACATTTTTTTAGATATAGCCAGTACTAAATGACTCTGGAATTACCATTTAAGTGTGGAGAATGAAATAAAAGCGAAATTATTTACTTACAGAATTTTGAAGCAAGTCTACTGATCTGAAAGAAATCAAAAGAAATACGGTAAGTAAAATCTGCTATTCAACATAAAGTTGTTTGTAGATTAAGTAGTGCTAAAAGTAAGTTTTCGATTAATTATCTGGTGTGGCAGTATACATTATCTACTTAAACAGCAAAAACAGTTAGAGATACTGCGCAAAAATCTATGCACAGCTACTAAACAAACTACTGCGAAGGTGTAGGGCTATTTTTTAAGTCGATATTTCCATTTTCTAAAATTTCCTCTTCGCTTCCAACATAAGCTCTTCAAAGCCATTTAAACACCGTTTTACTACACGGAAATGCTCCGTTTTTTACTCGTCGGAAATGCTTCGTTTTATTAGGGTAAACAATGTGTATATTTATAACAATGTCTTCAGCCTTATTATTATTCACTGTAGTTTTAAAACTGCTACAGAAAAAACAAGAACAAAATTGTCACAGTAGTAATAAATGCATTATTGAGTATGTCACAAGGTACTTTAAATATTAATTCAAATGTCTTCAGTTTTTCGTCCTGAAGAATTTCTCTGTAAGTCCTTCATTTCCCACCATTAACAGAATCCGGTGTTTTACTAATGTTCATTAATTGTAAAATAATTTGTTCAACTTATAGTGCATTAATTGGAAACTGCCACGTTGAGGATTCATCATTCTTTTAGTTCTCTGTTGTACTTTGTCTCCACGTGGTTTTCTACGACTATTTCAGTGAGTTTTCTATCAGTAGATGATTTATTCTACTGATTTTCTTACATAGCTGAAATTGTTAGTACCTATACCTATTTTAATTTTATTTTATTACTATTGTTACGCCTCTGTTAGTTTGTTAATTTTCCGTAAAAATTCTTTCCGAAGAAACTTTAGCGATACAAGTCCTTTCTTAAATAAAACTAGTTTATTCTTTCTCAATACAACTTTGCAATACACAGAATTTCCTTAGTCACGCTATAACTTAACAAACGCAATAATTCACAATGAACGATTCACGTGCTTGACTCAATTGTCTGTCTCTATCTCTGTCTGCAATTCAATTACATTGTTGCCGTCACTT